ATTAGAAGTGATTGTGATGGTGTATATACAACTCTTTCTAAAAGTTATTTAACTATGGAAGTGTATTATATGTGAATATTGTATCAGGAAAAATGCATATACAACTCTTTCTAAAAGTTATTTAACTATGGAAGTGTATTATATGTGAATATTGTATCAGGAAAAATGCATATACAACTCTTTCTAAAAGTTATTTAACTATGGAAGTGTATTATATGTGAATATTGTATCAGGAAAAATGCTTTTAGAAAAAACAAACAAACACCAAACAAATTTAGAACCATTTTTCTAAGTTGAAAGTAAGTTCTCAAGGGGTTACTACAAGATAATACCATGTTGACAAGCTGTGGCATGGGAGGGCCCAGTGGGCCTGAAGGGTGCTGCTCTGGTGCTCAGTCCCTGCCTCTGTGTCTGCCCTGGTCTGCTCTTGGGCCTTGGGACTTCCTGTGGGCAAGCCGTGTCCAGATCCCCTGATTATGACTCTCCTGAGTAAGCCGTATCCCCACCCTCCCGGCCTCCTGCCCACACTCCACTAGCCTGACCACAACACAGAGGAGAGGTTGCACCTGTGTGTCGGTGTGACAAGAGGTCCTAGCCATGCCACACAGAGAACTAATCCAGTCTCCAGAGCTGCGTACCAAAGGCGATCATCCTGCACATCCATGCAGAAGTACAAATTTCAAAAGCTCTGACTGGCCATGTGGATTACACATTCATCTGCCTTCTGACAGACTGGTGGCCTTGCTTCCATTGTCATCCCTCCACTTAAGTGACTTCAGGGGTTTAGAGAGGACATTTAATTGGACATAAAAAAACCAGACAAGAAATGGATTCAGCGGTATTTGAGGATGTGGCCATGAACTTTACCCAGGAAGAGTGGGGCTTTGCTGGATTTTTCTCAGAGGAAATCGTACAAAGATGTGATGGTAGAAACCATCAGGTGCCTTGTCCCTTGTTCCTCTTCAAATTTCCTTTCTGTTTTGGTTTATATTTTAACTTCACATTATTGGCTCCGTCTCTCAAATGGGATAACAGTGGACACAAGATGTTTGTTGAACATATACTACGTGATTGCTGAAGAATGACTGTTGGTTGTTCACATTAAGAAGAAACTGAATTCTGTGACAGTGAGCATCACCACAACAACCAAGAAAATGTGGGTAGAGAACCTGTATGCGAGTGAAGAAGATAAAGAAATATAAAAAAGCTGATCAATATGGGCAATGTTTTTGCTGGACTGTAGATCTTACTCGTCTTAAAGGAACTCCAGGTATAAATCCTTTTAACTTTGTGAAGGTGAAGATGGTACATTTAATCATGAGGTCAGATCTGACACTGGGTACAGACCTTACCAGTACAAGGAGTGTGGTGAAAACTATAATAGTCCCTGCTCCCTAAAGTCTCATTCAAAAACATTTACTAGAAAGAAACTCTGTAACTTTATGTACTGTGGTAAACTCTGTAGTAGTTCCTCGCCCCTTACTAAATGCATAGGAATTCAAAATGATGAGAGGCCTTAATATATGTGAAGAATGTGGGAAAACCTTCACTCAGTCCTTACAGTTCATTGGTCATAAAAGAACACATCGTAGGAAGACACCCTATAAATGTAAAGAATATGGGAAACCCTTCATTTTTTCCCCTTAGTACTAAATAAACATATGGGAACTCGCAGTGGAGATAAACCTTATGAATGTACAGAATGTGGAAAAGGCTTTAGAAATTCCCCAATGTTAAATAGATTTATAAAAACTCAAAATAGGGAGAGTCATGAATGTCAAGAATGTGGGAAAATGTTTTATTCAACTCAGATCTCACTAGACATATGACAACTCACAGTGGAAAGTGGCCTTATCAATGTGTGGAATGTGGGAAAGCCTTTGGACATCCCTCGACACTAAGTGTGCATATAAAAACTCAGCGGAGAGAGACATGAATGTAAGGAATGTGGGAAAATGTTTTATCCAGGCTCAGCACTAACTAAACAGTTAAGAACTCACAGTGGAGAGAGACCTATGTATGTAAAGTATGTGGGAAAGTCTTCAGACAGTCTTCACACCTCAGTGAACGAAAAAAGAAGAGTGGGGAGAAGCCTTATAAATGTAAAGGTGTGGGAAAACCCCTGTAGAACTCACTAAACATAAGATATCTCATGGTGAAGAGAGACCTTAAGGATGTAAAGAATATGTAGAAGCCTTTATTCAGTCCTCATGTCTCAGTAAGCAAAAGAAGACATAGTGAGGGGAATCCTTTTAAATCTTGGGAATTTGGGTATGCTGTTAGTCACCTGTCAGTACTAGTACTTCACAATGGAGAGAAAGGCCTTATGAAGGTGAAGAAAGTATGAAAGCCTTTAGTTGGTTCACACACCTCACTCAGCAGAAAAGAATGCACACTATAGGGAAACATTGTGTCAAACTTTATCCCTCTCAACACAAAATAACCCATTTCAAAGAAGCTTTGTGTATTAACAATTTTGGAAGCCTTTGTTGTTCCTTCTTCAGGAAACAAAAAATTCACTTGGAGAAATAGGAATGTAATGATGTGAGAAACACTTCCTCACTAGACATATGTGAGCTCGCAGTGGAGAGAGGCTTATGTATGCAAAGAAGAGAGAAACTTCATTCTTCCAGAGCTTTCCGAGGGTGTCAGAATAAAATATAGGTGTTCTACCGTTGGAAAGTTTTTGGTCATCCCCTGTCCTTTGGAAAACCTAAAAGTACGTGTGATAGAAACCGAAATATGTTTGATGAATACATTCCCCTACCCTGTGACTTTCCTAAGCTGATAGTGATTTATGCAGATGGAAATCTTCACTAACTTACTTTTCAGGATTTACAACAAATCACATTTCAAATAAATCAAGTATATATAAAGAAAAAATAGATAACACCATATTAGTCTTCTTTTATGGGACAAGCAAACCATTTATTCTGCACACAGGTATAGTGGATATTCAGTTCCAAACCACCCAGAGCAGATGAGACTTGCTACTCCTTTAAAGAATTACAGTTTCAGAGCAGTTCTACCCTGTCCTACAGGGTCACTATTAGTCAGAATTGACTTGATGGCAGAGTTGTTTTTTGTTTTTAAATACACCAGATGGCTTCATTCCTGTAAATGGTATTGAAGTGATATTTCCATTTTACAGATGAATAAACTAGTATTCAAAAAGATTAAATAACTTGTGCAATGTTTCATTAATCCAAGTGTCCTAACACCTCAGTGATTACTCCTTTAGCCATCATGTATAATCTTTATAACTACTCAGATGAGATGATAGATATGAGAAGGCTTCAAAAAGTTCATGGAAAAATAGAATTAAAAGATAATTGAATTTTCCCACAAACTTTTGAAGTCTTCTCATATGTTTAAATGGTCTCTGAAAAAAGCAAGCCATCAAATTGACATGAAGGAGCACAGGCAAAGTGGAAACCCAAAGCCCACCTGTAAGATGATGGGACAGTCCTTCCCAGAAGGGCCACACGAAAGGGATGAGATGTCAAGGGTGCAGTAGAGCACAGATGAAACACCAAACTATCTCCTACTTCTTTAAAGTTTCCTCCTCCCACTATCATGGCCTTGGTTTACCTCACTGATCTTGCTAGATCTAAGTGTGTATATATATAAAGTATATATAGATCTAAGATATATAGATATAGATCTAAGTATATACACACACACACACACACACATTAGTACAATTAAGGTCTTTTGATGCACAAAATCCAAGATAGATAAACTGCTCAGAAACAGTAATGGGAGTGATGATTCCCTGAGGGTACAGGAATGGGGGAGAAGGGACTGATAGTAATGATGGCTGTATAACCCTACCCAAGGGAAATGAACATAAAAAATTTAGGTGAAAGGATACATTGGATGGTGTAAGTTATGGCAAAAATAACAACAATAATAATATATAATATCTTAAGGGTTCAGGAGGGTAGTAGGGTGGGGAAGGGGAAATAATGGGAAGCTGATATCAAGGAGTTCAAGAAGAAAGAAAATTATGATGGCAGCAATTGTACAGCTATGCTTAATCTGATGGAACTATGGATTGTAATTATGTATGTAAGAGCTCCTAATAAAATGTTTAAATAAATAAATAAAAATGGTCTCCAAAGAGAAAAGTATCAATAATTGTGGTGATTTGTTTAGAGAAGAGAAGGCCAAGGGGTTGTTTGTGGTGTGAGTATGATATTCCTGCAGCATGTCACATAGGGCAGTGGTGGTTCTGGAGTGGAACCTGAGCAAGAGACCTGGTTATCTACTGTTGCTATCACAGAAATGCCACAAATGGAAGGTGTTAGCCATCAAATTCATTTACTCACTGTTTAGGGGACTAAAAGTCCTGATTCAGGGTGCTGTGTCTCATTGAGGAAATTTTTCCACCTCCATTAATTGGAGGAAGGTCCTTGTTTCTTTGAGCTTCTGCTCCTGGCAGATTTTCATGTGGCTTAGCATCTCTTCTCCATCTCTGCTTTTTTCTCTTGACTGCTTAATCTTTTTTATGGCCCAAATGATGAACTCAAAACACCCAGTATTAATCCTGCCTCATTAACATAGCACAGGTACTTCTTTCCCAAATAGAATTAGAAATGGATTGGAATTTGCAGCACCTAGATTCTATGTCTGGCCAGAGAACCCCGTGGGCAACCACCATTCACCCATCCTCTGGAAGAATGAGGTTTCTCTCTTCTTTGCATACATAAGCCTCTCTCCACTGCGAGCTCACATATGTCTAGTGAGGAAGTGTTTCTCACATCATTACATTCCTATTTCTCCAAGTGAATTTTTAAAATTTAAGATTAGGAAGAAAAGTTCTCATGATCCTTCAAAAATCAGCCAATGAAAATCCCAGCTCCAAGGGCTGGAGCAGCCATTTTGTTTTGTCCTGTAGAAGGATGCAATAAACTGAGACTAACATGACAGGAATCACAGCAGCAGTGTTCACAACTGAGACCTTTCTTGTTTTCACTTGGGTTGACCTTTTCCCACAGGGAGTCCTGCTTTCTTGGACCAAGAAGTTTAAGGCTCGGGCAGTTCAGGACACAGATGTAAGGAGTCATCTGTGGAACGCCATGCAGAAACACTCGGTGAGCCTTGTCCTTGTACCTGGGCTGTGGGATACTGTGCCTGCTCTGGAGGAAGGAATGGTAGAAGAACTCAGTCTAGGCAAGGTCACACTGCAATGGAGATTGTCCTCGTCTTCCCAAAGTTCCCCAAACAAGGGGCTGGAGTCCTGGGGGTGGGCCCCCACATTTCCATTGCAAAGAGGCATAAAAAGCAGACACATATGTTCCCTCTTCAGCCCCCAATAAGGGCATTTGGTCGTCAGAAAGACCTGGTTCCCCCCAGGGTAGATCTAGCAAGCAGCATTTAATTATTGTCTGAACCAATCACTGCCACTGCTTTAGCTTCCTCTGCCGTTCCACCCACTGATGCTCCCTGGGGCTTGTGTTGACAGGACATGGAAGTGGAGTTCGTGGCCTTGGTCAATGGCACAGTGGGGACCCTGATGGCATGTGCCTACAATAATCCTCAATGTGAAATCGGTGTTAACATTGGTAACTTTATTTGACTTGCTTTTTGGGAGTGGGAGAAATAGGACTGGTTTGGATCTCAGAAAAGTCAGAATGAATTGGTGCAGCTGGGGAAGGGGGCCAGAGGGGGACACTTTCTTTAGGGGCAGCTACATAGGAGGATGGAAAGTTAATACATTTATTAATTAAACTAATGCTTGTTGAAGGCTAGGTCCTATGCTCTGTATTGGGGCACAGCGGTGAGTTTTCAGGAGTCCATGCCTTCATCAAGGGTATGGAAGGCAAAAACCTACCAAACAAACAAGGTGATGCCAGGCGGTGTTGACTGTGGTATAGGACATAAAGCAGGGTGCCCTGGGTGAGCAAGTGAGTGAGTGAGTGAGTCTGGGGAGACAGCCAGGGAAGGAAAGCCTCTCAAGTGGTGACGTGTTGGAGGTTCTAAGGAACCTCCATGATGAACGCAGAAAGTCATGTGGAGTTGCAGGGAAGAGAGTCCCTAGCAGAGGAAATAGGAAGCCTATGGCATCAGGCAAAGACTTACTGAGGCACAGTAAGACCATTGGCGTTGCCTCTGCAGCAGTCAGAAAGCCCCTGGAGACCTTGGGGAAAGATAAATAGCATGTGCTTTTAAAATGATCATTCTGGCAAAATAAATATAACATGCAGTTTGCCATCTTAATCATCCACAGTGACTGCATCATTTTATATTCCTCCAGTAATAGATAAGGGCTTCAATTTCTCTACATTCTTACTTTTTTGTTTTGTTTTGTTTAGGAGGGTAGTTGTTGAATTTTATAATCCCAGTGGAGGTGAAGTGTTATTTCCTTATGGCTTTGATTTGCATTTCCTTAATGACAAATGATGTTAAACACAGATGTGCATTTTCAAAAGCTCATTTTTAATTGCTGTGTGGAGAATTGCTTATTAAAGGTGAGTGGAAGTAGGGCAACCAGTAGAGACAATTGCACTGTCCAGGTGAGATGTGATGTGGCCTTGGACCAGGGAGGCAGGGGTGAAGCCATGGTTCCAGGGGTGGTCTTAGCACCTGGGCAAGGAGGGGCTCCATTTGGGATATAATGAAACCAGATTGAATATTCCCCTTCTCCTTCTCATTCCTTTCCCACCATGGGGGGATGTTTTTGGAATTGCCATTTCTGAAGTTCTAACAGCATCCCCCTCAGCCTGACTTTCCCTAAGGGGAGGATCTTTAAACCTGGTCCACTCCCTCTGCCTTCTTGCATCCAGGAGCCCCCACATGGCCTGCCATCCAGCTAATGCCCACTGTGTCAGTCTGGTGGCACACAGATTAGGTGTCATACCTAATTGTGTCACCCTCTCCGAGAAAAGCTTTTACCATTTCTTAAACACTGCTTTTCTACATTTCTTAGTTCGTCTGGTAGTCTTTCAAGCCCTCTGGTCTATTAGCCAGGGAAAGATACACAGTGCTGTTTAAAAACCAGTCTAGTCAGGAATAACAATGTGATGCTCGCCCAGAGCCAGGCAGTGTTGTACATAGGGATGCTATGAGTTGGCCTGACTCCGCGTCATCTCATACCAGCAATAGTGAGGCACAGAAATTGTCCAATTCTAGGTGTATAATTCAGTGATAAAAAATAAATGTATAGTATTTTGTAACCATTGCCACAATCAGGTCAGATCATTTCCACCATCCCTCGAAGATCCCTGGTGCCCATTTGCAGCTACTCCCAGGTCTTTGTACTATTACACTATAAAGTCTGTGCGTCATTCCCCTGGAGTGACTTTGTATTTCAACAATGGAGTATTGCTTTCTGAAGTGACAGTTAATGTCTGCCAAAGGAAAGGTTGTAACTCTATGCTAGGGACAGTTTGTGGAAGGCCATCAGGAAAGAATATTTTTAGTACCAAATAGAAAGGAAGCTAAGTAGTTTAGGGAAAGGATTGAAATAATGACTGGGGAAAAGGGTTTACTAGGTTAAGGTAACTCATCTCCCTTTTGAAAATGGGCTTTGAAACCTTCAGGCCCTTGAGTAATATTTTTTTGATTCTGGTAGCATTCCACTTCACCAACATTTTAAAATTCATTTGTGGCCCAGTTTCACTTTTGTGGCCAGGATTAAACAGGTTCAAACTGATTTGAACCTAATTTTTACTTTCTAATCTCACATTTACATTATAAAAGTAGATAATATGAAGCAATTTATTTTGAAGAAATACAGCTACCAAATTCATTCCTTATGTTACAAATAATATTTCATTCTTATATATTAACTCAAATTAGCAATATTAAATTGTTTCTTTCTATGCATTCATTATAATTAAATCTGAAGTGGCAATGATATTCCATTTTAATCACTGCCTCAAAATATTTCAATGAAAAAGAAAACATAATGTAAAAAGTATTTTTAACAACTCAAACTTAAAAATTATACTATGATTTATTGAAGCCCTGAATCACTGTAAAAAGTTTTGCATATAAATATTAAGTTGAAGATTTAAAGCATTTTTCAGTGGAAAATTCTCAACACTATAAGATGCACTGAAACTAAACTTAACTTTAATGTAGGTGACGTGTCACTGCAAACAATAAAAACCTAAACCAAGCTCACTGCCATTGAGTTGATTCCGACTCATAGTACTCTACAGGACAAGGTAGAACTGCCACTGTGGGATTTCTTTACAAGAGTAGAAAGCTTGATATTTCTCCTAAAGGGCTGCTGGTGCTTTTGAACTGTTGACCTTGCGGTGAGTAGCTTTACTCATAACAGTCATGTAAAATTGATAGGAATTGCTAGGAATACAGTGTGCTACCATAATTAATACATAAAGACATAAAATATTAATACTTTAATATCCATTCTAGTGTTATTACAAGTGTTTAATATATATGTGATTAATAACTCTTTGTCAACTCTTTGTACATTGCCAAAGCTATATAGAGTCAATAGTAACAGTAGAGTCATTTGACTTCAATTTAATTTTTCAAAATTCCATTTCATCAACTCATCCTTTGAAACATGTATATTTCCTGAATTGATTTCCTTTGTTGCACTTTCAATATTACCCTTTTATAGATTTTCCAAATGTTTTTAAAATGTAACATGGTCTTCACCTTAAGTTCAAAACTCATTAGAATTTGAGAACAAGATCACTACTTCTAATATGCTATCACTCTTGATGAAATTATTTTCCTCACATTGTTTCATGTGTTTCCAAATATTATTAAGAGTTTTTAATTTTAGCTAGGTTTTCACCCACATACCGAAAATATCACTTATGGTTTAATTGTTCATTTTGTAATCTCACTGTAATTTTTAAAAAAAGGTTTTAAAGTTTATAAAATTAATGTGAGATATATCCATTTGTCATTAAAAAAGTAATATTTTGTATTATTCTAGGTAACACATCACAGAGGTTTTAGCATGCTAGTACGATATTGAACATGGCATATATACTGTTTCATATATATATTGTGGGATGATCCTGTAGGGGGTTCCTTAAATTATTTTCTAAAAATTTGGTAGACAATGCCAGAATACAAAATATTAGAATAAATTCATTACATTCTCCTAAAAATGCTTGCTGTTCAGCTTCCTTTATTGCATCTTTAATAATTAATTGTGTGTGCACTCATATCCATCAATCTTTTCTTATAAATTTTGTTGCTTTCACCACCCTGTTGCAATAGTTAAAGTCTACAAGTCAAATTGTGTTGTCAGAATCTTCACATTGTCATTTTGCCATTTGATTTCACAATTTTTAACATTTTAACCTTTGCCGTTTGATTTTAACATTTGCCATTTGATTTCACGATTATTTCTGTGCAAGTCAATAAATTCAATCCTGTCAGAGCCATGGTCCATGGTTACAGAATGAATCTGTTGTAGACCATTTGTTGTACTCCGGTTTTGCCCAGCCAGGAGCCCTTCCCTCTTTGCATATGCTTTCTGATCCTTTGTTCAGACAATGGCACCAATGCATGTTACATGGAGGACGTGAGCAACATTGACCTGGTGGAAGGCGATGAAGGAAAGATGTGCGTCAACACAGAATGGGGGACTTTTGGTGACAATGGGGTTCTGGAAGACATCCGCACTGAGTTTGACAGGGAGCTGGACCTTGGCTCTCTCCACCTAGGAAAGCAACTGTAAGTACTGGACTGTCATACCTGGCCATTGTCACCAGGAAATACCCATTCATTCAGCACATCACCATCTCACCTAGGAGGCTCTTTGGTTGTGATAGTTATCCACCACAATGAGGTTATAAGGCCAAGCTTGCAATTAACATATAAGGAAATTGAAAGATTTCCCTTAGATTATACCCTAATTCTAATTCCATCAGTATTTATGGAGCACTGGAGATTCAGCTGTAAGTGAGGTCACCTGGGTCCTGCCTTAGAGGTTTCAGACAAGGAGTCTCAGATTAGACAAGTGAGGAGGCCCCAGGAAGTAGGTAGGACTCAGCTGAATGCCTCATGCTTTGGGTTTCCGTTACTCCCCACTTACCACTTCTAATATCTAGACTTTAATATGTAGACTTTATTCAAAATTCATTTGTTGCCCCAGTAATGTTCTATAGCACAATAAGAAAAACAATGTCCTATTCCAGGCTCCAATCTAGGGTTACAGGTTGCGTTTTGCCTCCATGTCTCTTTAACCTCCTTTTAACTTTAACAGTTCCTTAGCATATCTACCTTTTTTGTGGCCTTAAATAATACAGACCATTTACTTTATGCAGTGTGTCTCTATTTGGGTTTATTTTATGTGTTATCCTGATTCACTTTAGGTAATACACTTTCTTTTTCTTTCTTTTGAGGAATAACATAGAAGGATAGTGTATCTTTTTGGGTGCACATACTATCTGTTTAGCCTGTTACTGGTGCCATTAACTGGGTTTAATTGGTGAAGGGCAAGCAATAGGTTTTATGATCATTAAATTATTATTGGCCTCTTTACAATGAATAAGTGTTCAGTGAGGGGAAGTTTTGAAACATGAAAATATCCTGTTCCTTATCAAATTTTCATACACTCATTTTAGCATTCATTAAATAATTTTTAAATCCATCATTCCTTTTATATTTGGGAATTGATATTCTGTAAAATAAAAAGAGCTTTCTCATCACCATTTGCTTATGTTAGTATGGATGCATGAAAATTGGCCCCATTGCTTTCTCCCCAAGCTTGCTTCCCGTATCTGTCTCATGTAAGTAGGCAAACCAGCAATGTCCTAGTCCGAACAATAAGAAAACAAAAGGTTGAAAAAGAAAAGGAGAGAGAAAAAAAACCACATAGTTCCAGGTCTGTCCACTGGCCTTTATGAATCTCTCCCCACTGGACCTTTGGGAGTTCCCAGGAGGGGCAGCCCGGAACTCCTAGCCCGAAGTCCATTTGGGGGGCTCTTTAGAGACTTTATGGGTTGGCTTTGCTCCAATTGCTAATCTGTTTTTCTCCCTTCTTGGTTTGTTCCACTGCGGGGAATTCAGGTCACATTATCTCCCTACCATGTGTCCCTATTGTTGTTCTCTGCTGCAGTACGCTCCAGTTAGGGGACAACATGTCTTGAATTGCTGGCAGTCCTGCAGTCCTCTCTGTGCCTTAGCAGCTCCGTGGAGAGACCTCATCCTCCAGGCTTGTGTGCCAATACGGAGTCTAGGCCAACTGTCCCCTTCTCTTTCTCCTTCTTGGTTTGCTTCTGTGTGGGCTGGTAAGTCAGCTCCTTTCCCCCACCTGGAGGGCTAGGGTCGTTCTCTGTGGTACGTAGTTCTAGGGCGGGGACAAGATTGGCTCTGGTTGGGGCCGGCCCTATAGCCCAATCTTATCATGTAATCCTCCACGTGGTTACAGTTGTCCTCCTGGTTTGGGGCATTGTGGTGGGGTCTGTATGTACACTCCTATTCTGTGGAGACACAACCAATACTCTCCCCTGGGGTGGGTTAGTGCCCTGTTCCCCCCATGCCATCATCTCAGTTTCACCCCTTCTCTTCTCCCTCCTCTTTCCCCGGTTTCCCTTCTTTATGCTGGAGTCACATGTACCTCCCTGGGTTTGGTCTGACCTCCACCTGACTGCCTGTGTCTCCACCCGTATATTGTGAGATAAGTGTCTTTCCTTCTATACCTGCTGTGCTGATTATACTTACCTCAGGGGACTCATGTTATACTTGTCCTTTGTGATTAGCTAACCTCACTTAGCATAATTTCCCCCAACCCTTCCCATGAAAAGATGTGTTTCATGTGATCATCCATGCTTTTTTAGTGCTGCATAGTATACATGTGCCAGAGTGTACTAATCCGTTCGTCTCTCAATGGAAATTTAGGTTGTTTCCAACCCTTTGTAATTGTGAATTGCGCCGCAATAAACAATGGGCGCAGATGACTGGTCGTGTTTTATTTCTTACATTTTCTAAGTAGATGCTCAGTAGAGGGATAACTGGGTCATAAGGTAGATTGATTTCCATTTTCTTTAAATATCACCAGATTGCTTTCCCCAGTGGCTGTACATATCTACACGGCCACCAGCAATGGAGGAGAAATCCTATTTTGCCACATCCCCTCCAACATTTGTTGCTCTCTGATTTTCTGATTTAGGCTTACCTCAAGGATATTAGGTGTTATCTCATGGTTGTTTTAATTTGCATTTCTCTTATGGCAATGATCAGGATCATGTGTTTATTAGCCATAGGGGTCTTCTCCCTAGTGAAATTTCTTTTCACTTCTTTTGCCCACTTCCTCAGGGGGTTAACTGTTTTCCTCTTTTTGCAGGCCAGGAGGGTGTTGTACATTTTTCCCAGGACCAATGATCTTAGGTTAGTCCTGATTCCTTCGTTGATTGTCCTGATGTTTTGGAGATTTACTTCTAGGTCTGGATCCACCTTGAGTTTGTTCTTGTGCATGGTAAACATCTTGTTTCATTTTTCTACATGTGGATATCCATTGTTTCCAGCACCACTTGTTAAAGAGGGCATCTGCCACCCACTTGATGCTTTTGGGGCCCTTATTAAAGATCAGTTGTTTACATGCTGATGGTTTTACTTCTGGGCTTTCTGTACTTTTCCACTGGTCTGAGTATCTCATTATGCCAATACCATACTGTTTTGACCACTGTGGCTGTGTAGTAGGTGTTAAAGTCAGGTAAAGGGAGTCCTCCAACTTTGTCCTTCTTCTTTAGGAGTTCTCTGCTAATCCGGGACTTCTTCCCTCTCCATATGAAATTGATGGTCAGTTTTTCCAATTCTTTCAAGAAGGTTGTTGGTATTTGAATTAGAATAGTGTTAAACTTATAAAGTGCTTTGGGTAAGATTGACATATTTACTATGTTGTCTTCCAATCCACTAGCATAAGATGTTCTTCCATTTGTGGAGGTCACTTTTGGTTTCCTGTGATGAGTCCTATAGTTTCCTTGTATAGGTCTTTAGTTTTTTTTTGGTTAAATATATTCCTAGGGATTTCAATTTGTCTTGGCTATTGTGAATGGTATTGTCTTTTTGATCTCTGCTTCCATGGTCTTGTCCTATGTATATAGAAAACCAATAGACTTCTGTTTGTTGGTCTTGTATCCTGCTACTCTTCCACATTCCTCTATCACTGTAAGTACTCTTATTGTGGAACTTTTGGGATTTTCAATGTACAGAATCATGTCATCGCAAATAGCAATAGTTTCACCTCCCCCTCTCCCAGTTAGATACTTTTAATGTCCTTTTGCTGTCTTATGTTGTTAGCTAGGACCTCCAGTACGATATTGAATAGAAGTGGGGACAAGGGGTATCCTTATCTGGTCACCTTTTACAGTGGGATTGTTTTAGTCTTTTCTCTATTGATTATGATATTGGCTGTTGGCTTTTCGTAGATAGCTTTTATTAGCTTGAGGAATTTTCCTTCCATCCCTATTTTCATGAGTGTCTTAATTAGGGATGGGTGTTGGATGTCATCAAATGCTTTTTCTGCATCTATCAATATTATCATGTGGTTCTTATACTTTTTCTTGTCAATGTGGTGTATAATATTGATGAATTTTTTTATGTTAAACTATCTCTGCATCCCTTGGATGAATCCTACCTTGAATGATATGTTTTATATACTTTTGTATTATTTTATTGGCCAATATTTTTAAAAATCATTTTATTAGGGGTTCATACAACTCTGATCACAATCCATACATACCTCAATTGTGTAAAGCACATTTGAACATTCATTGCCCCCATCATTCTCAAGACATTTGCCC